GAGAACCTTTGGACCTATCTGATAAAAAATAGCATTATCATCTGCAATTGTTAGATCGGAAACCATATGCAATATATGCTTACCTCCAACAGCATAACTTGCAACTAAATATAGCAAAAAGAAAAATTATCCACAGGTCAAACAAAAGGATCATACAGGGGAAAAAATATATGAATTGTATATCATTGCTATTACTGGTTTGGGAAGACACCAAATTTGTAACTTCATAAAGGGAAAAGAAAATTATAGAGAGAAAAAAAAGAATAACAATATACCAGSATAAGAACCAATGCTATGTACCTGTTATTTTCAAGAAAGCCAATATTGTTTTGAAGTTGATGCATAGGATTTACAAGTGGGACTTCCAATCCAAAGAAAAATTTTTCAATCATGAAAAAATAATTACCTGTAGATCCAAAGCATTAAGATGACCAAAACTTTCAAAGTCAGCATATCCATCCTGCCTTTCAATGCTTGATCTCCACCACTGAAAAATGCCTTGGTGCCCTATGTAAACATGTTTTCAACATTATTTTCAGTGAAAGAGGGTCCTTAAAAGATGCATCAAGCCTACTCTGAAATAGGAAAATCTAATGTCAATAGCTTAATGAACACATCAACTCAACTAATGAAAGCTACAACTTCAAGCAATAAATGCATGGTATTTTACAAAACACAAAAAATCAAAGGTCAAAAATAGAAGAGGATGAGAATAAAACAAAGATTAAAAACTACTTCATTCACATTGAAAGGTCTAATAAATAAACCATGCAGAAAATAATAATAATTTGCAAAAGAAGGTATCTTGCCTGTAAGGATGATGACTCCCACAGAGCTATCATCTCGGGCATCATTAAATGCATAAATAAGCTCTTTAATAGTATGTGGCCTGAAAGCATTCCTCCTCTCTGACTGGTTGATTGTAATCTACGAGCAAAGTAAAGGTAGAGTGGATTTAAGTCTCTGGATGCAACTGGAGACAACAATGACATGTTGTAGTATCATAATAGAAAACAGAAGTGCCACTGCCCTCTTGAAGCAGATACTCTATGGGCCTCAGTTGTCAGCAGCAAATATGGAAAGCATGCCAATGGGTGGGATAGAAAGGTCCACTTGAATCAAGTGAAAGCCAACAATCCTTGGAAAGGTACCAGTTCTACCTATTCTTCTTTTATCCCTTTTATTAGATATAAAGTAGGGAATGGATCTAAAATTAAATTCTGGACTGATCTGTGGTGGGGAGAAAATACATTAGTTTTTTCTTACCCTCGTTTGTTTAGCCTTTCCCAAAACCAAGCGGGCACCATAGCTTCTTGCCTTTCAGACTTGTTTTCTTCTCTAATCTGGAACCTAAGTTTAAGAAGATCCTTAAGGGATGTAGAGATTGCTGAGTTAGTAGATCTGACACATGCCTTAAGGGAGGTCTACATTTCCCCCTAAAAACAAGACACAAGAATCTGGAATCTCCTTCCTTCTGGGAAGTTCTCAACCAATTCCTTTATCAAGGCCTTGGTGTCGGAAGAATCAAATTCTGGGATCCCGTTTAGGAAAGTTAGGATTGGTTACATCCCTCTTAAAGTATCCTTCTTTGTTTGGGAAGCCTGTTTGGAAAGGATAAATACTTGTGATCTTTTACAGAAAAAGCACTCTGGTAGATTGTGCATTTCCTGCCATGTATGTGTTCTTTGTCTCAACAATGGAGAGTCAGCCGAGCACCTCCTTCTTCACTGCTCATAAACTAGGTAAATATGGAACCATGTCTTAAATCCGATTGGCTACAGCTGGGTATTTCCTAAAAGCATCAAAGATTTTCTGTGGCAATGGCAAGGGAGAGAGCTAAGTCAAAGGGGCAAACTCTACTTGAACACGGCTGCCCAAGCAGTCATGTGGGGTGTTTGGGAAGAACGAAACAACCGCATTTTTAACAACAAAGCTAGAACCTTGGAAGACCTAAGCTCTCATATCTCTCACTTATGCAATTTTGTGGGTGTTGAACTCAGAGATGTACAAAGACTTCTCTCTAAACATGCTTCAGCAGAACCTAGTGGAGCTGCTGTACTCTTCACCTAGTGCTGTAAGTGTTAGACAGTGTATGCCCTTAGCTCCAATCAGATTGATGTACTGATACATTTATTGTAAATGAGTAAAAATACATAATTGTTTCATGTTATAATTGGTGTCTTTCTGTGTAATTACCCCTTAAACTGGACACTTATGAGACTCGTGTTAGTTTAGAATGTTCTCAGCCGTTGGATAGGCTTGGGGAGTTTATTCTGCCAAAGCTGACACTAATGTGCTGCCAAGAAGGTTGGGGCAGCCAGTCTCAGCTGCCAAGGTTGGACCTGAAGCACATGTAGTGTGTGTTTGTTTGAAACACTGAGCCTGGACCAATTTCTAATTATGCCTTGGACCTTGGAGACTGGTGGGCAAAATTGGAAAGTTACACATAACCCCTAGACTCGATTATGGTACTACACTAGGTGTCGGATTGGGCTGTCTTTGATATGCCAATCAGTGAGATCCTTTGGGGGTCAAAACCTGGGTATGTTGGGGCAGTTTGAGAATTTACTCGAGTGGTGATCATAGTGACATGATCAATTCCTTTTGTCGGACAAAGTGAATGATCGGGACTGCACTCTTTCTGATGGAAACCAAAACTGCCGGCAGTCGATTTCAACCGTGTTTGAGATTTGTTTTGCAAAATATATTTATATGATAATATATATATATATTATGTTTTAAGAAAAAGGTTTGCAAAAAGGTTTTAATTCCCGGACCCATCCGAGCAGAGAGTGCAACACTACACCTTGCAGCCAGGGGAGAGGTCCTTCCCTGTTAGGCAGTGTTTGATCATTAAGGGCTGAGAGGTTAAGTGTAAGAGACCATTAAGGGTTGTTTACTTGATGGGCTATATCTTACTTAAGTCCATTGTCCTTGGGTCTTCATAGGAAGGCTGGACTGAAGGATCATTTAATGTAAATGTTGGGCCCATTAAGAGCCTATACCGATGGACTCAGGGGTTCACTGTACTTGACAGTGAATTCGGCCAGGCCTTTTCACAGAGGCTGGGCCGAACCCATATGGGCATATGTAAGGTCATTGTTGGAGTCCCACGCCATACAAAGTGAACCTAAATGAGCCAACAACTACCTAGGGACGTGAGCCACTTGCTTATTGGGCCTAAAGCCCATGATTAATTGGATTAATCAGGGTGTCACATGACAGCTTAAGCAGTCATGTGATTTCGGCGAATATGGGTTTGGATCAGCCATTAGGATAAGAGGATAAGTCTTATCCACTTAGAGAGTCCAAATCCAAATAAAGATTTGGATTAGGAACCTCCTAATTCGATTAGGAGTGGTGATCCTTAAGGCTAAGAAAAGAGGAGATCAAATCTGCTACAGATCTCTCTACTCTTAGATCTCTCTCTCTGCTCTTGCCGCCCCAAAAACCCTAATTCCACCTCCAGTTCTTGGACTAATTTTGATCAGTCCATTTTTGCAAGAAAATATCAGAACCAATTCGTGCTCACCTCCCTTGTTCGATCCAAAGTGTTGGATCACAGTTTTGCTTAAAACTGTGTTGCTGAACCAGCTTCAATTCAAGCTGCGCCATCTTCAGTGGAAGCTGGTTTTGGAATTCTCTTTGAGCGTGAACTACCACTTTTTGAACTACATTTGTGGAATCCGTATCAGGTATACTTCTCCCTTCCTTTTGGTTTCAGATCTGGTCCGGTTTCGGTGCAAGAATGATCCTAGAAAAATGCAGTTTTTCTAAAACTGGGAATACGATTCCCAAAAGGRTGAAAGAAAATTTTGAAATTTCGCCCAACCATCTAGCATGGTTCGGCCATCCATATGATGGATTTCCCCTTCCTTCAGTAAGAGCTACTAACATTCCCTAGTCAAGGAAAGAGGAGGAGGTGACCTTGTACTTTGATGGAAGTGCTCAAGGGAACCCAAGTCTAGCCAGTTGTGGTGCTGTGTTTATGAGGAGGGATGGTAGTCCTTTGTGGTTCTTTAGTGGACCATTAGGGACTATAGACTCTACAATGGCTGAAATCGTAGCAATGTTAAATGGCCTCCGTATCACAAGAAGACTAGGCCTGACCAACCTGGTGGTCAAAGGTGATTCTAGCAACACAATAAAGTGGCTTGGGGAGATGGAAGGAGGACCTTGGAGACTGGCTCACTCCCTAGAGGAGGCTAGAGATCTGTTATACTCCTTGAATGCATCGTTAATCTGGATTCCCAGGAATTTAAACTCTGTAGCAGATAAATTAGCCAAGTCTGGTGCTCACAGGGAAAACTTTATATAGTAATAGTATAATGCCTTTGTAACCTGTGTGTGACTAGCCTTTGTACTCTCTTTTCTCTCTTTTATAAAGTTACTCTTTTTCTCAAAAAGTCCAGGTGTCCAGATGAGGATAAGGGTATACAAAAGCTTCACCACTGTTCCCGATACTAAGCAAAAAATGGAAGCATCTATCTATAAACAAGCAAGAGTCCCGTGGCACTAGCCAAAGTTCTGCCATTTAGGAGCATGAACATTGAAACCAGTTATTAAGCAAATTACTACATTTGCCCACATTTCCTATCATCTTGTCCATATTACGCGCGACTGTTTCACTCAGAATTTCAATTGAAATTAATAGGGGGCATCCTTTTTTTTTCAACTAACCATAATTAGGTTATAACAAACTAAAAAGTAAGAATGCTCATTAAAGGAAAAAAACTGAAAAGTAAGAAAATTGTCGACAATCAGAGTTTCACTTTCAGAAAAAAAAAAGTGACAGTAATTAGAAACTCTATCCGTGATTTCTTGCTTTCACATAAAATCCAATTAGAATGAATTCTTTTGACATTTTTCTTCAATATACTTGGGCGAAGCATTACCTTCGCGAATGCTTCCCCGACGGCTTTCTTGTGAATAATATCCATAAACTCCTTCCCTGATTCGTTGCAACAAACTCTCCATTCAGTTTCGTGAATCGGGAGTTCACTGTGTATTCAATGGTAACTGTCAATCTGTCACTCAGAGAAGCATTAGATAGATGAATACGGGGTGTTCTGAAATCGAGTGAACTGGGACTATCTGTCTGATACATATCAGCTCTTTAAATTCCGCTTCGTGAGTGGGGACTTCACTGATGCCACTCTTGTTGCCACGGCATTGATGTCCTTCTCTTCAAACTCCGCCATTAGAAGTTTTTGAGGTTTCAACCAGTGATTCGGGGCTTTGAATTCAGAACTCGGAAGATATCTGTTTGATACATCTCAGGTCTCAGCTGAAAACGGAAGGATCACTTTTAAAACGCGGCAAGGGCAAGCCATTGAACAAGATTCTCTTTAACCAACCAACGGTTTTATTTCCAACCGGTTTAACCCGGTTTCAGATCGCTTCTATTTCTAATGCTATATCTGCAACATTGACCGCAATTAAACCGCCTTTTTGGAGCATTTCCTGTGATTCCTCCCTCCACAACGAATTCTGCGGGGCGAGTCGACTCGACTCCCTCTGCTATTCCTTTGTGGTGATGGCCTGTGCTACTTGGCTCCAGTCCTCGTCCTTATCTTATGCATTAGCTCCTGTTCTTTGCCGACATGCGAGGTTGTCTGCTAGTCTGCGCTGCTTTTATCATCTTTCTTCCACCGGCCGACTTGGCTACTCCAACGTCCTGCACAGGCCTCCATTAATGGATGTTTCCGTGCAGGCCAGACGAGGCTTTTCAGTTAGAGAGGACGAGGTAGCTTCTCGTAAGTAAAAGTAACATTCTGCAAGCGCTTCTCTGCAGCTTCCAATCGATATCATGTGCTTATACTCTCTCGATTATGTTATATGCGATTTTATTTATATTCTTGCTCTCTCGTCTTGGTCTTCAGATGTTCGTTGTAAACGTTTTTTTTGCTTTCAAATTTTCTTGTTAATTAAACCCCGGAGCAGTGTAAACTCTTAAATTTTTCATTCGTTTAGTTTTATTTGTTTTTAATATGCTTACCTCGACACTCTAGAATGAAATTTGTAAGTTCTGAATCCTTGATAATCTTGTATGGTCGTAGCCGCTGATCTCTCATTCGAGCCACCTCTTAAAATAGTGGAGTATCCTGATCCGATACTGCGAGCGAGAAACAAGCGTATCAATACATTTGATGAGAATTTGAAGAAGCTAGTTGATGAGATGTTTGATGTAATGTACAAGTAAGTTCCTCCCCCTCCCTTTCCTACTACCTATTACACCAAGGCATTGTTTACTCTTTGTTTAACATGAATACATGGGCCTTGAACAAGTATAAAAGACACGACACAATTATTTGGAACAAGGGTTGGAGATGGTCCAGCAATGAAATGATAAAAAAAAAGGTCTTCCAGTGATTTTGAGCAAATTGCTAGGGGTGGTTGTGGTGGGTGTCTGAATTCTTGCCCCCTCCCCTGGTTATTTCCTGTTCTTTTTTTTTTATTTATTTATTTTGGGGATGGGGGTGGGCGTTTTTCCATTCGGTTTGCTTAACTCCATCAAACAGGACAAGGACCTAATGAAATTCTCAAACCATAGGATATGCAATGTATTTCAGAATATGCTTATAAAAATGTGTGATATCTACAGTGTGAACACCCATTGTTAATTGTTGTACAGAACTGATGGCATTGGGCTCTCAGCACCACAAGTAGGACTCAATATTCGACTCATGGTTTTTAATCCTGTTGGTGAACGTGGTGAAGGGGAGGAAATTGTTCTTATAAACCCAAGAGTTTACAAATATTCCAAAAAAACAGTGCTTTTCAATGAAGGTTGCTTATCCTTTCCAGGCATTTATGCAGACGTAGAGGTATTACTTAACTGCTGAATTCATTTTTATTTTTTTTTTCTTTTCATTTCTCCTTTGGCAGTTCTTTTCCTAGTTTGAATCCTCAGTTGTGGACTATGCAGGGCATTTGGAAATACAATGGGTACAAAGATCAGCCAATAGTTTGGCTGATGGGTTATCAAAATAAGGGGTTACTAAACAACAAATGTTTTGGGCTCAGTTGTAACAGAGTATGGTGAGATAGCAGGGGCTATGCTCAAGTTTTCTAACTGATTTGTTAACTCTCAACCTCTTGTTGTACCTGCATCTATCTTAACTAATCAATGGTACATTATCATTTTTTAGTTATCCCAACTGTTTCTTTTGTCTGGCTATTGATCTTCTGGGCAATACTTTCAGCTAGATCACCTGTATATTGGATGTCAAAATTTCATCACATATTGGGGCATACGGCCGATATGTATCATATTGGGGCCCCTCTGATATGCCCCTACACAAGGTGTTTCGGGGTCCCACCTATTTCATGGGGTAGATGGGCCTTAAACTGACCCCCTGAACAAGTTTCGAAGAGCGAGTCAAGATACAGCCCGATACGCTATCCTTACTGATTGTGTGTAAATTTTTTTTTGAGGGATTCACACCCTCTTTATAGCAATATAAATTTTTTTACCATCTATGATAAAAAAACTCAATTCTATGAGAATGATTCACATTGTTCACTATTCTCTTTTTTGCAGAGACCAGAATCCGTGAAGGTTGATGCTCAGGATATTACTGGTGCAAGGTTTACAGTTAACTTATCAGGCCTTCCTTCACGGGTTTTCCAACATGAATTTGATCATTTGCAGGTCATTTTCTTCATCTCTTTATTCTTTTTATCGTTGTTTTTTAAATGATGAAAGATAATAAAAAGATAAAGAAATTCATCAAAAAAATAAAAAGATAAAGAAATTCATCAAAAAAATAAAAAGATAAAGAAAATACATTATGCATACATACAAAAACAAAAAGAGGAACTAGTGTGGGGCAGTAAAAAACAAACTTAACACAATCAATGCCATTACCAAAACAAAAAAAAAAAAAAAAACATAAGGCAGCCCAGTGCACGAGGATCCCGCCAATTCAGTGTCTGGGGAGGGACAGATCACTTTCAAAGATGTATGCTACTCCTTCACATACAGAGAGGCTGTTTCCAAGATTTGGACCCTGGTCACCAAGGTCGCAATGGAGCAACCCAACCGTTGTGCCAAGGCCCACCCTCAAAAAAAAAAAAAAAAAATTATGCAAAAACTCTGGAGATCACCAAACCCCATGCACAGAACCTGGCACTAGCCATCCCTGGAACAAAGAACAAGCAGCACCCACAAATGAAATCTACAAATCAATCGGCAGCTTTTCCCTCCTAACCCCCTTGCCCCCCAAAAAAGTTCAGACCAAACCCACCAACCAGGTTCCAATGTCAACCACGTACTCATGAAGGTGTTCTGTATGTGGATGATATTTTGTATGCATATGTGGATATAATTAACATCACCCGAAAGAAGAAGTGATTTGTTACAAGTTGAAGGGGCTAGAAGGGCAAGAGGGTAGACCAAAAAGGATATGAGTAGTAGTAAGAAATAATTTAAGCACCGATAAATTAAGAAAGGATATGGCATTAAACAGAATGAACTGGTGAAACAGGATTCATGTAGCCAACCCCATATAGTTGGGAACTTGAGATAAGGCTTGGATGATGATGATGATAATGTGGATTTACTTCATTCTGTAAAACTAAAACTATGTTAATTGTTTTTAAACAATATCTATCAGTATTTATGGGTTTGATTTTAAACAAGTGAAATTATTGTCTTCTTCTAAGCTTGCAAAGAATCCACAAAAGTTAAAAAGAGGTGATATTTTTGGTATTATCAGGGATTTCTGTTCAATGGGCGATTCAATCAAGAATTTTTCTCATTTTGGTCAAAATTCATCAAGTTTAACTTTTGATTGATAATGGAAACTTCTTTAGCTGAAAGAAAGAGATACAAGCAACAAGCCTTCCCAAAAACTACAAAGCAATGTTGCATGGACATAGTCACGAGAATCAGAACCCAATACATGTTCAGGAATCTGACTTGACAAGATGAAAAACCAAAGATTCATGGACACATCTATGAATTATTAAATACTAATTATTTTATTGAACTTTAACATTATAAACCTATACAAAAAGTTTTTAATAGATTATATTTCTCACTTAAGTACATTTTGTAGGGAAAAGAGCATTCTCTGTGCACATTAACTGTTCATTCTTGAAGTGTCCTTCAAGAATAGCCTCAGAGGAAAGACCCCCCAGTAAACTCAATCCCTGCTCTCCAACTCCTCCCTTACTATAGAATTGGTTAAATAACTTGAAGATGTGACACCCATTGGAACAGGATGTTTAGTCTGGATGCTAATAATCTAGCATTGCTATTATGATGATGTTAAAAGTTGGTGTTCTTTAAGTATAGTACCGCAGGGGTACTATTGTACTTTTCTTCTTTTATTTTTTATGTCTTGTCGCCTAGTATAAATACTAAAAGCTGGCGCCGCCAGCATCAGCTTTTGACTCTCAAATCTCTCTTCTCTCTTCCTCTCTTCTTCTCTCCTGTATAACATGGTATCAGAGCGGGACTATCAGATCTGAAAGGAGAGATCAAGTGAACTTCTTTCGCATCAGACTATCAGATCTGCCTTCACCAGCTACTGTTTGGGTTATTGAAGATCCAATTTTTTTCTACAAGCACTGAAGTAACTTCTCTCCCTTTCTCCTCCCTTTTTTTTTTCTGGTTGTGCGCCAGGACAGAACCTGTACTAGGTCTGCTGGTTGGATGTGAGGTGATCAGCACCTCTTTCTTTCCTTATTTGTGGGATCGGCTGATCCCTGTGTAGGCTGTAGGTCGGTGATGACCTTTGTATGCTGCGACAACAGCCATTATGATGAATTTGTAGGTCAGGGAATGACCTGTACATGCTACGACAGCAACTATATTTGATGCGTAGGTCAAGAGATGACCTATATGTACTGCAACAACAGCCATGTTTGATTCTGTAGGTCAAGAGATGACCTGTTAGTGCTGTACAACAGCTATTTTTTGTTTCTGTAGGTCAAGGGATGACCTGTTAGTGCTGTAACAACACTTTTGTTTTTTTTTTTTTTTCACTACAAAAGTTGAGTTTCAGAAGGAAAAAGGAGATGTTTTCTTCCTTGGCGTTAGACTGCCTTTTTTTAAGGTTTTGTGCCCACTTTAAGAGTGATCTGAATCTGTAATCATGAGTGGTGAAGATTCTGCCACATCCGATGTTTCCTCAATGCAGAATGGAATGAGTGGGGGTGTGGATCTATCCTTTCCCATTGCTGTTATTCCCCTGAATGGCTTAAATTATTTAGAATGGTCGAGAGGGATCAAGTTATACATTACTGCAAGGGGAAAGATAGGATATATAAATGGGAGAATTAAAGAACCTAATTCTGGGAGTGCTGAGTATGACAAATGGAACCAGGAAAACAGCATGATCATGTCCTGACTTTTAGTGTGTATGCAACCTCAAGTGAGAAGGAACTTTATGTGGGCTGAAACAGCTTATGAGATTTGGGAACAGGCAAAATAAACCTATTCTGAGCTGCGTCACTATGCAAAAATCTGCCAGTTACAGGTAGAATCATCCACTTGTAAACAGGGGAGAGGAGTCTTTCTGTGTACTATTCAGACTTAACCTCTATCTGGAAGGAGTTAGATCATTATCAGAGTGTGGACTGGAAGTGTGATGAAGATGCAAAATCGTACAAGAAACTTGTTTCCCAGCAAAGGATGTTTGCTTTTCTCCATGGCTTGAATCCTGCATATGAATCTATTAGAGTCCAGGATCCTAGGCAGTAAGGATCTTCCATCTGTCCAGGAAGTTTATGCATTAGTATAGTTAGAGGAAAGTAAAAGGAATTTGATGAATAATTCTGGAGGGGATGCAGTTGTGTTGGCAGCGAAAGGGAATGTTACTACAAGTGGGGGAAATATCTTTAAGAAGAGGGACTTTCAAAAAAGGGTGGATGACAAAGACAAACTGTGGTGTACCCATTGCCAGAAACCCCGACACACCCGAGATACATGCTGGGATCTTCATGGGAAGCCAAAATGGGCTCAAGATTTGAGTAAGAAGCAAGGTTCTGATCTGAATAAGAAGTCAGGATAGCAAGGTACAAGAAAGCACACTATGCCAAACATGGCTACTCAGGAGAATCAGCCCCCTATTACTACTGTGACTCAGACACACACCTCTGGTTCTGACACAAGGGAGGATATTATTAATTCCTTCTGTGACCATTTAGAGCTCTATGGTAGGGTCATTCGTTAGATGGATGCTCCTCCCTCAACTTCATTTGCGTTTACATCAGGTAACTCTATCACAACTTTCCATGTATCGTCCCATTCCCCTGACTCTCCTTGGATAATTGATTCTAGAGCGTCTAAACATATGACTGGTAAGTCCTCTTATTTCCAGACCTATCACCTCCTCTCTGGAAGAGGCAAAGTGAGACTAGCTGATGGATCATACTCTACCATAGCTGGTCAAGGAATTAGTAGTATCACTAATTCCTTAAACTACTCAATGACCTTTTTCCCTTCTTACCGTGTGATCTAGGATCTAGCCTTGGGGAAGACGATCGGTAGAGGACGTATGGTGGATAGGCTCTACATGCTAGAGAATAAGGCTGGTCTTACAGTCACAGAGTCTAAGAGTCAGTCTAGTAAGAGTCAAGTCTATTTATGGCACATCCGTCTTGGTCATTTATCTTTTGAGTCTTTAAAAATGGTGTTTCCAGAGTTGTTTAAGTCAGTGTCAGTGTCAGAATTTACTTGTCAAACTTGTCAATTGAGTAAGCATTGTAGAACTCATTTTTCTTCAAAGAATAATAAAATTTGAATTTCCTTTCCATATTGTTCATTCTGATGTTTGGGGCCCTGTTGTTTTACCATTTGAGAGTGGCTACAAGTATTTCATTACCATTATTGATGATTACTCCAGATATACATGGGTGTATCCCATGCAAACCAGGAATGAAATACCAAAAATTATCCAAGATTTTCAGCGAATGATCTTCACCCAATTTCAAATTGAAATCCAAGTTTTTCAATCCGATTATGCCAAAGAATATTTTCATAATGATTTCACGGAGTTCTTTGCTTTGCGTGGATCATTTCACCATAGYTCTTGTGCCCGAACACCACAACAAAATAGTATTGCTGAAAGAAAGAACCGGCACCTTCTTGAAATGGCCCAGGGGTTACTAATTCATATGAATGTCCCCAAACGTTGGTTGTCGTTGTTTTGTTTAAAATCGGTCACCCACCTGTGGAAAATTGGATCCTCGTGCTATTCCTTGCATCTTCTTGGGATACTCTCTCACTCAGAAGGGATACCAGTGCTTTGATCCTGTCTCTCGGAGGTATTATGTTTCTATGGATGTCTCTTTCTTTGAGAGTGAGCCTTTCTTCCCTGTTTCTCCTCAGGGGGAGAGCAGGAATGAGGAGAAACTGGTTCAACTCCCTCCTCTTCTTGATCCTCCTCCTTTTCGTGTCTTCTTTCGTTGTCACAAAGGCCAACCATGTTCAAGAGCTGTGGAGCACCTAGAAGCTGTACCACCAATGCCATCAAACTCTTTGGGGGCTGATCCTACCTTGGTTCCCATTGATGTTCCTGGCCCTGTTGCTACTGATACTTCTATTGCTAATGACCTTGACCTTCCTATTGCTCACCGGAAAGGTATTAGGTCTTGCACCACTAAACACCCCATTTCCCACTTTGTTTCCTATGAGAACATTTCACCTTTCTTTCAGGCCTTCCTCTCTTTCATTGGCAATGTTCCTATTCCTAAGAATGTGGCAGAAGCTCTTTTGGTGCATGAATGGACAGATGCTATGAAGGAAGAGATTAATGCTTTACATAAAAATGGTACATGGGAACTAGTAGATCTTCTTGTGGGGAAGGAACCAGTTGGACGTAAATGGATTTTCATAGTAAAACATAGGGCTGATGGCACGGTGGAGCGGTATAAAGCTCGTTTAGTGGCAAAAGGGTTTACACCTTTGCCATCAAACTCTTCGGGGGCAGATCCTACCCAACCAGGTACATGGAAACCTTTACAACCGTTGCTAAGATGAACTCCATTAGAGTCATTTTCTCCTTAGTTGCTATTCTTGATTGGGACCTTCATCAACTTGACATCAAGAATGCCTTTCTAAATGGTGACCTTGAAGAGGAAGTATACATGGTACAACCCCTGGTTTCCGGGCTCAAGGTAATGAATAGAAAGTGTACAGGTTAAAAAAATCATTATATGGCCTGAAACAATCATTGAGAGCCTGGTTCAGTAGGTTTTATGTAGCAGTTCAACAAAGAGGATACAAACAGTGTCAATTTGATCACACATTGTTTGTGAAAAGAGGGGAAGGAAAAATTGCAGCACCTAATAGTGTATGTTGATGATATAGTTGTCATTGGTGATTGGAAGGATGTAATTCAAAAGTTGAAGAGTTTTCTTGCTACCCAGTTTGAAGTGAAAGATCTAGGTCCTCTAAGGTACTTCCTTGGGATTGAACTGGCCCGCTCACAAAAGGGTATCCTCATTTCCCAAAGAAAGTATGCCCTACTCCAGGACACATGAAAATTGGGAGTGAAGCCGGTTGATTCTCCTTTTGATCCTAATCACAAATTAGGTGATTGTCAAGGTGAACCCATTGAGGATGTGAAACAGTTTCAGAGACTTGTAGGAAGATTGTTATATCTTTCTATGACTCGACCAAACATTGCTTATGCAGTGGGTGTTCTTAGCTAGTTCATGCATGCCCCTAAGACTACTCACCTTGAAGTAGCAGAAAGAGTTCTCAAATATCTTAAGAAGTTCCCAGGTGCATGCTTGTTGTTTCAAAAGCACGGGCATTTGAAAGTTGAAGTGTATACGATACAGATTAGGCAGGATCCCTGAATGACAAGAAGTCGACCAACGGCTACTATTACCTTTGTAGGAGGGAACCTAGTTACCTGGAGAAGCAAAATGCAGAATGTGGTAGGCTGGTAGCTAGGTCTAGTGCTGAAGCTGAATATCGGGCAATGTCTCATGGAGTGGCTGAAATTATGTGGCTAAAAAATTTGTTGAGTGAGTAGGGCTTTTCAGTTGATGGACCTATGGCTCTATTCTGTGATAACAAAGCAGCCATGAACATTGTTGCTAATCCAGTGCTGCATGATAGAACTAAACACATCGAAGTCGACAAACATTTTATCAGATAAAAGGTCGTCACTGGGGAAGTCTGTACCCCTTATGTTAGCTCTGAAGACCAACTTGCAGACATCTCCACAAAAGGGTTACATCACTCACGACATCATGATATATGTGACAAGTTGGGCATGATTGACATCTATGTCCCAACTTGAGGGGGAGTGTTAAAAGTTGGTTATTCTTTAAGTATAGTACCGCAGGGGTACTATTGTACTTTTCTTCTTTTATTTTTTTATGTCTCGTCGCCCTAGTATAAATACTAAAAGCTGGTGCTGCCAGAATCAGCTTTTGACTCTCAAATCTCTCCTCTCTTCTTTCCTCTCTCTTCTCTCTTCCTCTCTTCTTCTCTCCTGTATAACAGATGACATAGTGAAACAAGGCACCTTTGGCCACTGTCTTCCATCTATCCAATAACTACCTGAGTCACCCTTCACCTCCACACAAGATGAATTCACATCGGCGCCCCACAGCACATCCCAACTGTGTATTGGAAACATCTCCTAATGACAAGTACAGGAGATGTTACGCTGAGATGTGCATGTGAGGTGCCTGTGGGGCGCTGATGTGATCTCACACAAGACAAACCAAAAGAAGACATCAGATGAATTCCCTAATGTACTGCAAGCATTTAACTGCCCTCGCCAGTGGGACCCAAACCAAAATGATCTTCACCACTGGCTTGCTGATGGATCAGCTATCAAAATTTAATTTGACCACACCATGAGCATGAAGGATCCATTTCTGCATAGTGCTCTGCCTCTACTAGTCTGAATGCCATAGCAGATGGTCTCCCTACTTAAGAAATCAGTAGTTTTTTTATTTTATTTTTTTTATGGAGCAATATCTCCATTCCCATGCTTAGTTTGGTAGGAGAAACTGCTTCTCCATATTTTGTATATATATATATATATTTTGCTTTCTGAATGTAATATAACTCTTACCTTTTCTTAGAAAAGGCAACCCCCAATGATAGAATAATTGAGATATGTCAACTCTTACCTTTTCTTATCTTTAAAGTTTTACCAGATATTTTTGGACTCCTAAAGCAGTAAGTCCCGTGGTATTTTTTTAGCAAAGCTTGGGACAACTGCATACCATGGGTGGCTATCATCATCATTGTCATCATCTAAGCTTTGTCCCCAACTATATGAGGTTGGGCCAGTCAGCTACATGAATCCTGTTCTGCCACACCATTCTATTCAGTGCCATATCCATTATAAAAATATGGGCTGTTAAATCATTTCTCACTACCTCAATCCATATATGTCCTTTTTGGTTTGCCCCTAGCTCTTCTAGCCTCTTCAATTTGTAGCAGATCACTTCTTATCGGTTGGTGCTATACTATAAGTACATGTCATGCACTATAAATATGTGAAGTTGTATCAATTTATTACAGTTTGTTCTTCAGAATCAGCTTTAGGCTACATTTAAATGCCTGAATGCTTACAATCTATGACACCCAGATCCCTTACATGGGTGGTGCTTTGTCAGATACTTCACCTTTCGGTGTAAATTTTGCACTTAACACCTTGTTCATCCGTGCCCTAGTTTTATCTGGGTGACAGTATACAAGTAAATAAGTACATGTCATGCACTATAAATATGTGAAGTTGTATCAATTTATTACAGTTTGTTCTTCAGAATCAGCTTTAGGCTACATTTAAATGCCTGAATGCTTACAATCTATGACACCCAGATCCCTTACATGGGTGGTGCTTTGTCCAGATACTTCACCTTTCGGTGTAAATTTTGCACTTAACACCTTGTTCATCCGTGCCCTAGTTTTATCTGGGTGACAGTATACAAGTAATAATGTTGTCTTTTTCTAGTCAAACATTATATACCTTTTATAGTTAATTCATCAGTATAGCATCAACATATTTACATTATCTATTTCCTCTCTTAATTATCACATATGCATGAAACTGTGCATTGAAGTACTTGTTATTTTCTTAAGTTCCAGTTTTGCTGGCTCACCTGTCAAGGTAGTTTATCAACTAGCTTGTGAATTTGCAGGGAACTCTTTTCTTTGATAGAATGACTGAAGAAGTACTTGAAAGTATCCGTGAACAGCTGCAGGTGACTGGAAGCATGGACTTAACCTTATCCTATTGTCATCATATCATGTATTTTGTACTAAAGAACTTTATATGTAAATAGAAAAAGCATTCCCATGTATTGGCAGACTCACAAAGAACATTTACGTATAGGAATCCACATCAACAAACTCCAACCACCAGTCCCTTGACTCCCTTCTAAAAGACAATCAAAGCACATCCTTAAAGTCTTAAACCTGTAGAGATCTAGAAACCAAATCCAGGGAGGCAGTAACCAAAAAATAGAGGGCTACAAAGTGATGGGGTGATGCTTAAAGAGGAGTACAAAGTGGCACCATCCCTTATGTAAGAACGAGAGTTTTTTCCCTGGGAGTGGGGGGCATGTAGAGAGCTCAATCAAAGTAAATTATAATGAATGGCCTCTAGGTAACCCAAGCCCATCTGGGGATTGGAGGAACCAGTTGATAGGTACAAGAGTCAGATCTGGGAACTCTGCGAAAGCAGAGCTTTTGTCATTCATTCAGGGATTTGATCTATCAGTTTCTATTAGCTACCAGGGAATATACATTTTTGGAGATTCATAGGATGGATGGCGGATGGGAGCATCTCTAGCAGCCCTTGGAGGCTAATTCATAAGATTGCAGAATCGACATCCTTGATCTCATAAAAAAATATATCCTTGATCTCAAGAGTCAATCCGCATCTCTCTAGATCACCCAACTCTCTAGTAGACAGTCCAGCAAGCATGGACTCACAAGGTGTGAGCTTTACTGCTTCTCATTACCAAGTTGATGGTGCAATCTTTTTGGGTATTTTTTTTCCCACAGGGTTCCCATTTATGGATGTTGGGCATCTATTTTTTAACCCCCTCATGATATATTTTACCTACTTTCTCACATTCATACCTTGATACACTACCTTTTTTGTCACTGATGGAAAAAAAAGATACTTAATTCCTTGATTTTTCTGCTCTGCTATTATTGAAAAAAAATATTAGATACCATATCTTATTTTGTTCGTCATCTTGGTTGTACTATTGGCAGGCACTAGAAAAGAAGTATGAAAGCAAGACTGGATTACCAAGTCCTGAGAAGATAGATATGCGGAAAAGAAGGCAGGCAGTGGCCGGTTTTGGAAGATCATAAATCTTGCTCCATGCTTGCACAGCTATCAGGTCTTATAAAGAAAAAACTCRTGTACTTGTTGCTTATTTGGTTATGTAAACTTTGGTTAATTATTCATGTTATTTTTTCTCTCATTGTGAAGTTAATTTTTATGGTATATATGAATGGAAAGCCTAATGCACATGGAATCACATTAAAGAACTAGATAAACAGGGGAAGCACAGATTGGTTTACAGGCCAATGGAATATTTGGACCATTAGGATGCACGATATACATGGTATCCTCTTGTAAAATTAGAAATACACTCAATTTCATGCTATCTAGAAGGAAATATAGAGGTTATTAATGTTGAAGCAAAAAGTACTTGAAAGCCTTCTAATATATTATGATGACTTTTTTCTGGATATTGTTGATGCATAAAAAAGAATGCTAACTGAATCATCCTATTGTGCATTATCAGAAGCTCTATTCTGTTGCCCTTATCTGACCTGTAATATGTCCCCTAAGATAGTCCTTGGTATCAAGGTGGTGTTTTATTACAGGGTCCTTTCAAATTTAATTTTTTGGCTTCTAAAGAAAGGAAAAATGATTACACAATTAAAGTTTGCTAAATCTCTCTCTCTCTCTCTCTCTCTCTCTCTATTTTTGCACCAAGTGGCTTCTCTAAAGACTCAAACCCATTTTCTCACTCTTTTAAGCCTGAGATTTTACCGTTTGGCCAAGATGGCCCCTTGTGGAATGCTAAGATAGTCAATATGTTCTTATCAACGATACAGGGAATAATAAAAAAAGGTTGGCATATTCTTCATTGTAATTTGTGTTTTAACAATTTATTTTTTAATTTTTTTCATGTTTTCTTTCGTTTCCTGCTTTTTTATTTAAAATTACTATGCATAAATCTTCTTCTTATACATTTTATTTTCCATCTTTTTTGACATTATTCAGATAACTAATTGTGAAAACATTTATTTTAAAAGAATTGCAATAAAATTGACTCATCTACCCAAGTTAACTGTTGGGGCTTAGCTGTTCTGAGACTGCAGCCTAAGTCATGAGTCAATAAACTAACGTTGGCACTGATGGTTATGACTTCAACCCAAACTTTTTGGCATCTACTTCTGTCAGCATGCATTTACCTGTGGAGTGTCTCCTTTCTTTCTTTCTTTTTCTGGTTTTTTTGTAATGTTGAATCTTATTCGGCAGCCCTAATAAGGGAAACTCAATCTAGTCTGCCCTGTGTTCTGGTATTGTTTTGCCTGGGAATATGAAGCCATGGATGTTCAATTGAAATAAGAGGGGTCTATGATGGGTTTTAGTAGGTGCCGTCGTTCTGGGCCAAATGTAGCAATTGAGCATTGTTAACCATGGGAGCTGTACAATCTTGCGTTTATTCCATTTTATTTGAAGCCTCATTTATTCCATTTCGTTCCGTCTCCTACCAGCTAACATGATTTTTTTTTTCCATGGGAAATTAGTGTGTGAAATAAAATTGTTGGAGGCATCATGGTGCAAAAGTACTTGTGGACAAGGCAGTTCTCTTTAGTAGCAAAGCAACAAAATAATGCTCCAGTTAGATTACAAATCATAGGGTACAGCTGGTGTTTTAAAACCACCCCTTGTGAATGGAAGAAGATTACATATTGAGAGTACAGAATCAGAATTCTCATATGGACTGGAAATTTTTTAACTTAATGAAATAGAAGGCCTGCTATGAATTCTGGCACTTGGAGCTGGAGCCAAACCTTGTTTCCCTGTGTGACAACTCCCAGATAGCTTTTGAAGGCTCTGGTTGAAACTTAATAGAGAGTTAGATTTGTGAATAGTGTGCTCTGTGCACCTGAACACCTCCAGTAGGACATGCGATTCTCACAAGAGATGATAAATGGAGGAGCACTGAAGATCACAACATCATAACTTGAGGGGAAGGTCTATGGTGGGAACCTAGATGTTTTATATATCTGTAAGTAAACTTTTGAATGCTTAATAGTCTTGTTGAGGCTTTCCTTTTTTCCTCTCCCTTTCTGTTCTTTATAGTCAATGTCAGTAAGAGTGGAAATGTTAGTAGAAAATTGTTGAAGCAACATAAAGGCAATTCAACAGTTAACCAGTTTGTTTCCATATCTTTTCTTTCTACCTTTTTGGTTTTAACTGCTAACCTTGTTAGAAGACACAATCATTGTATTGGAATTATAGCAGCTACTGTCATCTTGGCACTAAACCTCTGTACTCTCCCTTCATCTCATAAAAGGGGAGTATCTTGAAAATAAAAATTTATAAAGAAACACTCCACTTGGGAAAACCAACAGTTAATTGAGTTCATTCCTCTACTAATACTTGTTATCTCCCTTTTATCCAATCATTTTGGTCTCCCATTTTTACTACCGGTTGTCATCTCGTAAGAGATTAACATTGGGTTTGCCCAATAGTGTCCATGCTTATCATGGGCTTACAGATTTGTGACATCATGTTTTTCTTTCATATATGCATTAAGCATATGGTTATGGGTAGAGAACATAAATTCAAACATGCCACTGATCAATGATCCAGATTTTTCAGGAAGAAAAGCAGAGTGAAAAAGTATCCAAAAAGTGTTTTCAGTGGCAATTTTTTCCAGCACCTAGCAATTAAAACTTGAAGGTTTACAAGAACTAAGCCTAGTCAATATTGCATTTATATGTCCGATATGGTAAATTCTGCGACTCTTACTGTTGGGTTGTTTTAAATCATTTTGCTTTGTCGTATCCTTTAAGGAGGTATTGCTGTATACATAATAATTGGGTTGAGAAGAGGTAGCTAGATATAGAGTGGTTCGAATCATCTGTAATACACTGGTCCCAGACTGTTTTGGTGGCTGCTTAGTAAATACTGATCCACCCTATGGAGGAGTTATTTGCCAATTGTCAGTTGTTGGCAACTTCTCCAGGGGCATTGAAGGTAGCATACATAGATACTGATCCACCCTTCATCAACTCTCCAGGGAGAAGTATACGTAAATGCAGATAAAACAACTTTCGAGAATAATCCGGTTATTCCGGTCCTGTTCTAGTTTTGTGGGCAACTTCTCAAGGGGCTTATTAAACACTGATCTACACCCTTCATCAACTCTGTTATGCAACTTGAACATCTCTGAGGATTGTATAATTGTATTTATGATACATTGAAAGTCACGTGGAATGGAATCAATTCGTTTCAAGTTTTTGTTTACTGAAACTTACCCTATAAGTGATTGAGTTATCCTTTCGATTGCTAATGAAAGTTTGTTAAAATGAAACTTCCCCAACGATTAGCTTGCATGTAAATCAAGACAAGAATTAAATAACAGTGATATGGCACCTTGAATCCACATGACTTAAGATGAGAAAACACACGCTTTAGATTTTGTATAGAAAACGTCTCTTGCACCAGGGAAAAAGCTCCACTTGCTATTTATAGTTCTATACTCATTTTCTATAACTTTCGTCATCAGTAGATGAAACTTGATTGAGAAAAGCAGCACCACCCTTTTGTGTAAAATAGACATGTCACAAATATCATGCAATGATGGTGAAAACCAATTATGTATTGCAAATTTGCAATGGAGATGGTCTATCATAACATAGCACCCGTATACTAATTCTGATAATGGGGAAATCCACCCTAGCAAGCAAGGCTGCTTTATACCCTATACCGTAGAAGTCTAGCTAATAACAATGCCCTCCCTGTACAATCCCTCGAAGCGGGAAACAATAATAATAATAATAACGTAATGCTAGTGAATAAGAATTCCCATTAGACTATTATCCCCTAAATATATAAATATAAATATATATGTACTGTGGTGGGTAACAGCCACTGGTGTGAAGGGGTCGGAGATCACAACCACACATTGAATACACCATATATAGGATCCTTAGGCTGGGGCTAAGCAATCAGCAAGTATCACCATCGGACTGGATCCGGTTGCTTGATGGCTTGCCGATCTGCAGGCAGCCAATTGGGGGGACTGTGGGAGTGCTCAACTCCCCAAAGGTCTGCCAACAGAAGGGGTCATACAAGTGGTAGCGTTCTTGAATTGGTTTTAGCTGTATGGCAGTTAGAGTCACGTCTATGCATGGCAAACTGTCGCTGCATGCCAAGTGTACAGGTTTTACTGTGTAGGTCCCTCTTATTCTCTCGTATGTAATTCCTGACAGAGACACTGCCGATGTTTGGTTCTTGCATGTGCTCTTGTCGCAGTAGAATTGATCGATTACAATCGGAAGTTGAACTTCAGATACTTGAATGTTTGAGAATAGTACTCCTTGCACAGAACCCGACCCACCCTGCATGCCAGAGAGAGAGAGGAAAATAAGAAAACAATTGAACTGTTTTAATACATACAGTTTGATCTAGTAGAGATAAGTTGTAGTTGGAGTTTCTAATAGAAACAACTCAAAACCTCATACTCAGAAGTCAGAAATCAGAACGGTTCAAAGTATCAAAAACAACTAGAAAACTTAGGCACTAGGGTGGATTTACATTTACCTGCCATGTCTTGATTCTGACACCAGTCATGGTGTTGTGCATCATGATATCTCGCACAGTGATGTTTGATACACAGGCTTTGGTGTTGTCTCTTCCAAGACCTCCGATGCTGATGCCATGCCCAGGTCCACAGTTAACATTGTGTATGTATACGTTTGAGCATCCTGTCTGTATGGATACGCAGTCATCACCTGCACAACGCGTAGGAGCCTGATGTCAAGCAGGCAGAGAGATGTGGAACTGGTTGGTTATTGTTTTTTAGTTCTGCTTCTACACAGATATGGATGGAGTGGAGTGTGGAGAATTGTATTCTTAAAAACTATGTGCTGGAAGGTATTGGCTTGGTGGTATTTCAAGGTTAGGGATGCGTGGCAGAGTTTGTGCAGGTGCAGCATCGTTTACTGTTCCTGTATCCGTATTACCCAACTTGCCTAAATTACCATCTCGCTTGGGTAATCTTTCATTTTATATTTCTGGTAAATTTTGGGGGCTACTCCTGCTCTGCCATGTTCTTTCGGAAGAAGACAAAAGGTCAAAAGGAGAGAGAGAGAGAGAGACCAGAAGGTATCCAAGTTCCTATTCTGGAACAAGACAATAGAAAAACTAAAAGGAGAAACAGAAAGGAGTAAGTGGAAGGAGAGTACTTTGGTTGGGTGCTGGTCCCAAAACCCAATTCCAAATGGATCCACGTTGTAGGTTTGATTGGTATATGTGTGAGGAATATTGTGGCCACAAAATACTTAGCCTGCAGAGTGTTTTTTGTTGCACATGAACATTTGCCATGTGTCACAATTGTAGCGGTTAGACCTTGATGATGTGTCTGTCCTACAGACACATTTGCCATGTGTCACAATTTTTTGCCTCTAAGTCCTGATGCATACCACTGGCTACTCATAAATTTTCTTATAAATCTTTCTGGAGTCACATGAAGAGCTTTGGAGTTGGGCCTTTGGGTCATGGGTGAGGGGAAGTATGAAAAGACCTAAGCTAGACTTTTTTTTTTTACGGAGAAGTACAGATACACACGATGCAGAATTGAAATTACCACAAGCGAGGTTTGTGCTATGGATGAGCACGTCTTTGGAGTTCTGCAGGTGGATTCCGTCAGTGTTGAGGCTGTCGCCGGGTGAGTTGGTAGTCATGTTGTAGACTTGGACGCCGATGCAGTTGTCGAATTTCAGATGACACTGAGGGCTGTTTTGAATTGTTATGCCTGTGACTGTCACATTATAACTGCCATAGAACCTCAGAGCCTGCTTGCCAGAAGAACACAGCGAGAGGGAGAGTACTAAATACATCTAATTTTTACTGATATGGTGAAAAAAATAAGAAAACGAAAACCCCAAAATTCACTGGGAAGCTCTTCAGTACTTACAGTTGGTTTTATGCTTGGCATTTTCCGGCCGAGTGTGCTGTTTATCTGCGGTGATTACCCATAAAAAAAAAACCCTGTTATTGTTATCTCTAGGAAATTTGATGAACCAATTTGCGGAGAGATCAGGTGGCGTAAGTTACCGGAATGCGAGGGTTGACCGTCGTGGGAGGTTCGTCGGTAATCGGAACGATTAACCGTGCTTCACTGTCTGTGCTATCATCAAACGGGGAATCTTGCCACCACACCGAACCCTGCCCATCAATTATGCCTCCACCCTTGATTGTAATCCCCCTCAGTTTCGTGAACTCCAGCCATTGCAACAGTCCAGAACCCCAAGCATCGGAGCTTGTGGGAGCGATTATTGTACCCTCCAGCTGCAAGCCACCCGATACCGATACGTGAGCCTCAAGTATTAACAGGATTTTATTAATTAAATTTAAATAAACCCTGGTCCCTGATGCCTCAATATAATTTTCTAGTTTCCTACTGTTGGCTGCGTGATTATACTGTTTGTTTCTACTGTTGGACGCGTGACCAGTGGTAAACCCACCACCCCCAAAAGCAGAGAATGGATGGGTTTTCTTGTTTCTTCAACCTTCCACAAAAATCACAGGTGGGCCTCAAAGTTTCAAACCCCCCCTTTGATCATCATCTGTCTCTGGATTTGAGACATCACAACATTCTCCGCTACAAGAGGTTGGATGGGTAGCTTCTGTCTATTTGTATGATAAATAATGGTGTAACTAGTAATTTCGACCACCCAGACCCAGAAATTCACCTGAAATATGATGTTTGATTCACAGTAAGGCCCGGAGAAGGAAATGGGTCCGACAAGAAACACCAATTTTGCTGGCACCACCATTGTTGATGCCTCCACCTTACAAGCAGCTGCCCATGCAGCTTGGAATGCCTGCATTTCACCGAATCAAAATACATAAAATTTGAGAGATTTGACAAACAACCATTTTTGATTTACACCAATACAGTGTGACTGTGTGAGTGTGGTGTGGGGGGTGGTACTCCGTATGAAAACCGTATAAAATAATTGTTGGAATCTGCACCAAACTGCCTTAATCAGAATAAAAATTGGGGAGTGGGCCCCCACGTGATGGCCGCTTCCCCCCCTTTTCTCCAGAAGATCATTTGTCCATTTCTTGATGTTCTTTTTATCATTCTGGTTCTGGCGCAATTTTATACGCCTCAGAAATTCAACCCTCCCCACTAATATTGTTATCATTATTTAAATTAAATTGTAAGCAGCGACGAGACGACATTACGACAACCGTCGCGGTGATTACTTTTTGCTCTTGTTTTTAATCTTCGTGACCAGTGGGAGGATTTATTTGGCCAATACGCCCTGAGTTCTATGACTGCTCAGATGAATTTAGACCACATCAAGCTACTCTACAGTCTCTATACGATGGAGATGGAGCCATGGAGGTTACTCTGCACTTAATTTATCTTTTCAAACTCAAGCAGCTATGAAAAAAACTAAATGTGTAAATGTTTGATAGATGTTTTTTCTAGTAAAATGAATATGAACCCACTTGAGTCTGGGATTCAAACTTGTTAAGTATACTAAAAGCACCAAATGGGGGTACATGAGAACAAGAAAGAAATTGAAGCTATCACCTTCGTGTCGTCAGTCTTGCCGTCGCCTTTGGCACCGAAATGCAACACATCGAACACTGCACCATGACTACCACTGAATCCTTTTCCCGGTGGCGGTACCGGAGTTGGCTCTTTTGGCCCTTTGTACCCTTTTCCCGGTTTTGGCGCAGGCGGTGGGGATTTCGTCGGCTTGGACCCACGGCCACCGCCGCTGATGCCTTGGTGGTGGCTACCACCGTGAGTCTTCCCTTTCTTCTTGGATAAAGAGGCGGAGGTGATACCTCTGCTCTGCCTCCAGTGCTTGCCTCTTCTGGCATTGCAAACTTCAAATGTAGAGCTCCAAACAAGAAGAGCAATGAGAAGGAACAATGTGAGGCCTTTTAGACTGAACCTACCCATCTCTTTTGTTTCTCCCAGTGTTGCTATGCTGAGTGTGTTTTGACGTTCGTCTGCGTCTGTCTACGTTAAGTAGACAGAAACAGAGCGATAGAGGAAGAGGGTGGAGGAAGGAAAAAGGGTAGAGAAGGGAGAGGAAGTGAGTTTAGACTTTAGAGTTTAGATAGATAGGCAACAGAGGAGAGATGGTTGGGTTTAAATAGAGAAACACTCAGAAATTATGTCCCAATACACACTTAAGCAAGACAGATTGACAAGAATGGGGATTTAATCTGTTTCATTCTCTTGCTTTTCTTTCCTTCTTGCATTTGAGTATTGGTTTGATTATTATATTCTGCTGCTTCTTTCCTTTTTATGACAGTTGGTTGGGATTAATTTATTTAACCCACCATTAATGCCATTTGTCATTTGTACATTGCACGTGACACGCCCAGTTGCTCATGCAAGGACGTTGTAATCTTTGGCTGATCCGAGTGGGGGCATCAGCTTTCCACTTTTTGAAGCTACAGATGGAGCAAAACCCAATTCAATCAAGATGAGGAATAAGTTTAGATGAAAACCCATAAAATATTTCTTGCATTAATGGGGGTTTGCGTAGAAGAAAAAAAAATTACAAATTAAATACTTTTCATTGAAAAAAAAACAATACATTGCAAGAACTCAGAGAATAACGCGAAATACTATTTGAGTGTATGTAGGGCACCAATAATTGACTGGTACTGTTCATTTGTTTGTATCACCATTCACCAACCCATGATGCCTGGTGTCCATCACATCACCCAATTTTTTTCTCCTATTCCTTTTCCCAGTTTTTTTCTCCTTTTCTTTTTCTTTGTTTGCTGAATCAATGCATATATATATATTACAAAAAAACAACAATAGGAGATTAATATTTGTATTTTAAAGTTGTAAAGCAACATTAGTTGAATAAGTTGAAATCAGACCATTATAGTTTATTTGGTTCAGATAGGAATCAGAATGAGAATTGAAATAAGTTGAAATGAGATTTTATTTTCAAGAGAGGGGARGGAATAGCCATTCTCTCAAACGGGAAAATGTCATTCCATYAGGAATGGGAATGAGCTTCTAATTTCGTCCAACCAATCCGATTTTAAACCCCTATTTCCATGAAGCAAAGGGGACCTTATATTTTGGGATTTTGTTTAATTTATATTGAAGGAAGAAGTGAAGAAGAGGAAGAGCCACACAAACACAATAATGGGTAGATGTAGCTCGGCCTCTCTCTCCCAGTCACCTACTGTGATTGGGGCCGGGGGTGTTTCAGGAGTGGGAGAGGTGTAAAAGCCAAAGGGGTCACACGTGAATTGGTCTATAGTATGTCAAGGCCACTGACTATAACAGCTCTTCATGGTCACATGCAAGCTTCACGGGTGTGAGTCTTGTGCTTTGTCTTCTTAACCAGCTCCAAGTGCCAGAAACCCTAACATTTCCAGCCTTTCACCCTTTCTTCCCCACCTTTTGTTTAATCAATAAAATCCAATTTCATAGTGCCACCCTTCTAGGCCACTGCCTATCACACCTGATTTCTTCTGAGCATGGTTTTCAGGGGATCTTAATTCCGTAACCTGTACGGATTAAATAAATTATAAGCTTCTAATCAAACCCATCTTTGACTTGCTAATTACTCCATGCTCTAAAATTCATTTGAGGCAGAAAAAAAATTGGATGGATCTGACGTTTTGTGGAAAAGGAGAGGACTGCCCAGAAGGGACGAGGAATCTGTGAAAGCTTCATTGCTTTCCCCTCCTTAAACCTTTTTCTAAATCATCTCTAATCCCTAATTTCAATTCTTCCATCGGTTTTTTATATTGAATAATAGCATTTTGGTTGATGGAGGGATTAAGCTTTTACATCAGGCTATCAAGTACCAATTCTCCTGTAGCTTTCTCTGAATTAATCAGAATGTGATCGTAGGAAACATAAAAATGTGTTTGGGCCCTCKTACTAGTCCGGTCCCATTTTGTCCCAGTTACGAGGTCTGGTACAAACCCACCCAAAACACGTTCTAATATTACTAGTTCAAACTCTCATCTCAAGACAACAACCCTAAATAAAATAAATCCTCACAGTTTGAATGTCTTCAGGAAATTACTGCAAATAGTGCCCTGTAAATTAGCATTAGTTAGAGTTGACAGAAATTTCAGAAAAATCCTCTTGTAACAAATTAAAGGCAAATTCTAGTTCTACAGTCATCACTGCTTTTTAAATGTGTCTATGTAATTAGCATTTCTCCTTAAACTTAAAATTCTATATGATTCAAGAGATTAAAACCTAATTATGTTCTCTCACTCATCATTTCTTTCTATTTTTAACAAGAAATAAAACCTCTTAATCTTAGTTGTGTTCCTCCAAGACACTTACATGGTATTGGTACCAATTATTTACTGATAGAATATCAATACTAGGATCTTGTTTGGGAGTGTTCATTTTTTCAAGCACTTATTGAAAAAGCATTTATTTTAGGTTAAAACTATATTAATAAGCACTTATATGTGTTTGGGAAATAAGACAGAATAATTTAAATAAGCACAGATCTTTGGTTGTTTTCAAGCGCTCGTTACATTTTTTTGCCTGTTCCTCTTGGCCTGCCATGTATTTTCAAAATACTTGTACTAAGCTTACCCTGTTTGAAAGGATTGCTTTGTCACTAAAAACACTCATAAGCACTTATTAGGATAAGTACTTATTTATCCAATACACACTCCTAGACAGGGGCTAGTACTGCCTACCAATTTGGGGGCAATTAAGCATGTAGCTAGGTAATTTGGCAAATGAAAAGGACATCACTCTCACTTTAAACTTTCAGTTGTGAATATTCATGTATCAAATGTATTGTATCATATCATACCAATATATCATTTTTAAGACATTTCCTAAAAGAATTCAGTTTAAACGTTAAAATGACATTTGAGCCAACTCCAAAACATGTTTTTGAAAAAAAAAAGAACTAAAAAGTTGAAGATTTAAATGTAGAAAAAAAATAATATTTTCTAATTATAAAACAAGAGGTAATTCAGTGTTTTCGACCTGTCATTGACAAACTACAATTTCAGCTTGGGTCAACTTCGATAAATATTACAATATTGACCTGTTGACCTGAACAGTTGAACCCATGAGACCACGGCCCACCTGACCAGTCTAAATTGTCTCAACGTCACTGGTTGATCCATTTATTTGGATGGTTGAACCAATGACATGATACCCATTGACCCGGAGGGAAAAGCATTTATTTCATCCTCCCAGCTTAGTTTTAAAACACTAATTGTACGCATGAAAGGGCTTTTGGGTATTTGAATCTTAAAACTACCCATTAGCATTAGAATAAGCAAAATGTAAATACCCTAAGATTGCATCAGATAAACCTGATACAAGTGTTGGTAATTAGGCTGTACCCTAACCGAATTATTAATTAGAACACAAACCATATAACCTAAACCAATATAACTGGTTCGGTTGGTTAGGTTGTATCAGAAAGACCCGATCCCAATGCTTTAACTGTCTCGGAATCAGAACTGTTTTGGTCATCGGTTTTCGGTCCGTGGTTCAACTGTCTGATCTCTGAATGGATCAGCTTGTGACATTTTAAAAAGGATCTTAAAATAAAAAAATAATTAGCATAAAAAATTGACCCAAAAAACTGTTGTTTGGGTTGAACAGATTGATGGTTCAACCACAAAAATAGTGGTTCAGACTTCGGAGGTGAAATGAAACGATATGTTGGCCAATTTTCAGGCCAAACGGTTTGACCGTTCAGTCAACAAGGGCTTGAAAACCTTGCCTAATCCATTGATAGCTCTACATTAATGTTAAATGTGAACTGAAAAAAGAAAAAAAAAATCCAATTAAGGTTGACCCAATCCTAACCGAATAGGGTCAGCTCAATTAGGCTTTACCAACCGAGTCAAATTAGGATTTGCCACTTAACCCAACTGGAACAGTTAGGGTTTACAACTTAACCCGACCCACTGATAAGTGATAACCCTAGATGCATTTGATTTGCGTTATAAGACAATAGCATCCTTTGCTTCCATTCAAAGTAGCATCATTTATTTTCTCCAAAACACACATATAGGGGTGTCAATTGGATTGGATTTGGTCCAATTCGATCTGGTCCAATGTGAGTCTATTATAAATAGATCAGGTCTAATTCAATCCAATGAATATTTTGGAATATTTTGGACCGGTCCAAGTCAAAGTATGAACTGTTCGATCTGTTCAAATTTGTTTTGGTTTAGATTGATTTCAACCCAAACTTGATCCATTGACACCTATATTGTTATCTTATATTAATGATCCAATCTAATATAAATTTATTAGGGACAGATCAGGTCCAATCCAATCTAATAAATATTTTGGACCGATTGATCCAATTCAATGTCTTGTTGATCCATCCAATCCGTCCAAATTGATTTTGGACCAAACAGGTCTAATCCAAAACCGGTCCATTGGCAGCCTTACACACATACACTCTCCCTAATATGTGGTTTTATTTATAATGTTGGAGCTCAATACATGTCCCTGTGCAGACGTGGCAAAGGTTGCATACTTGTCAAGGAACTGAATGAAGCTAGCTTACTTGGAAAGGCATAAAAAGGCATCAGAAAACGTTCATGAAGTAAAGACAAGTATTAATTACTTAAAATCTTATATTACTGCAGACATGGACAATAGACTATGAATCAATCCAAACATTTTTCTCTTTGAATCTTGGTTCTCTTGAAGACTGCTGAATGCATGCGTGACATTTTCAGTCTTCGTTGCAAATACTTGCACGTGATCCATCCTTGTGATCATGAGATGCAACCTTTCCAGAAAACCGTTACGACACCGATCATCCACATCCAGGCTTCCTGCCATTGTTTTCGGCGCTGACCCGACTAACGCCCAAATACAAGAAAAACGAGACAAACAAGATTTAAAAAAAAAAAAAACAGAGAAAACCAAAATCACTCAATTCTCTTACTTAAATAAATCCATCGAGGGAATTTCTTAGTTGTAGTTCACCAAGATTCCTTTTTTTTTTAATGTAGTCCAGCCCAACCATGAACCACTCTAATCATCTATCCAAATCCTGTTTTGATCCTTTTTTTTCCCCTGTTTCACCTTCCACACATTATGATGGTTTTTTTTTTCTCTGAATTTTATTGAAGGGTTCTGTTTTTCCGACCACCCACAATGAGAATGAATTATAGGGTAGTCCTTTTTGGAAAGTTTGCTTTGAGTACGACCTTCTTAATCGTCTTTTTGTGCTTACATTCTCGTGACTTTTGGGCCCCCTCCT